TATTTGATATCTCCTAGTATCAAAGAAAGTACTATGACATTTTCCTATATGCGACATCTTTCTGTGAATTAGCTACTCATTCCATATTTGGAGCATCACATACATAACTAAACTCCAACGCTTTACACCATTTAAGCCTTGATCATGGATCCGACCATACATCTTGAGAGCAAGCACAATGCTAATTGTAGTCTTCTGATTGCACAAAAATCTCTGTTTCTGCCAGAGTATTATTAATCCAACGTAATTCTAATAAACCTTGCAAGTTGTCTCACTCATTGCACAACACCTTTCAGATAAATTATACTTCTGTATTTTGTGCACACTTTTCTGATACCAACATTTTTTATATGCTTGCAGCTACTTTTCCAAGAACGAATTCCACAGCACACTCAGAATTCACATTCATACATTTTGTCTCTCATTATTCAGAACTTACATTTCTATCAGAAACCTTTTGTCACAAAGCATGCCGGACAATACTTGTTTAAAGCAATGTCTTGAATACATTGAGTGGAATGATATAACTTCCAACTAGCAATCTCGAATGAGTGTTGTATTCATGTAGTGATTTTTAACTATTGGATGGTCTTTCATCAAGCTGAACACAAAATTAATTAGTTATCGGATGATTGAAATAGGTACTTAATTTGTGTACGAGCTAAAGACATCAAAATTAATTTAACAGGATATTGATCAATTAGAAGAGATCTTTTTTTGAATGTGAAAAATAAATTGAAAATAACAGCCTGCATATATAAAAGATACTATTGAAGAGATTAAGCATGAGAAGGAAACCTACTTGTCATAAGGAATGTCAAAGCACTTCCAGTGCGGATTAGCCAAAGCATCATGGTAGCTCCTGCATTCTTCATTTGTGCGGAGACGAAATCTGCGTTCTTTGTTGCAATCAGTACATCTGATAAACTCATCGCGATGACAAGCTCGCCCATTTTGAGATCTATTTGAAGATTGGTTATAATATTTGAGTAGTGCAGTCTTTACCACTGGAACTTTCTCACCATCAACAATGATCCAAATATTATTCTTCCATTTCCTAGATGTCTCTCTTCCAGAATGTTTCTCAAATGCAGCAGGAGTCAGCTTGTCTAATCACAAAAGAGCAACTTTTACTAGAAGCAACACATGGGAAAATATCTATCAAATAAGGTAATAAAAACAGTATAATTTTCTGTTTCATAAAAATCAAAGAGGTAAGAATTAGAACAAATTATACCATTGCTAAATGACTCAGTGATGATAAAAAAAAAGGGGGTAGAATATTAAATTCATTCCAATATGTAAGAACGTACTAATGAACAATGATCAAGTGACATACAGAAATATACATGCGTCACAAGAAGCTACAATATTATTGATCTTATATATCTACCAAGAACTTCAAACTTTCTAATCTGACAACCTAGTTTATATGCAGGAAAAACAAATTCCACATTTAGAGTGAAGAATGCCAGCTTAATTGTTAACTTGAAAGCCCTTCTACGGCTAGCACTTAATAGAAGTTCAAAATTACTCAAGAAACTAAGTATCTTGTTCCCAGACAGAGACAGTGCCTCTATTAAGAAGTAAGTGTACATTAGTTCATATCGTGTCGCTTCTTAAGCGGCAATTAACTTGTAATAATCCTCAGAATTCATAAATGCACTTAGACGGTTTTAAATGGAGCCACATGGATAAGGAAGATCCATCCCGCCATCCCAACTTGCTCGGGAATGCGCATGCTGCAGGCTTCTTTTTTTAAACCCCTCCCTAGGAGCTCCCCCATTTTGCTTACCACTTGAGCAATCCTCTCTTGCCACATGCTACAGGCATGTGTTCAACTAAACTAGTACACACTGTAAACGCTCCTTCCAGAAAGTAATTAGCAAAGGTCAAAGGAATTTTTTTTGCGGATGGTTATTTCTTAAGCCAATATCGCATGATAACTTTATGAGATTGCTGCCACCTAAATAGAACATATCATCAATCAGAAATACTAAAAGTGCACGCAGTATTGTTGGAAAACTAATTCAAAGTTGTAGTAGGAAACCTAGTTATTTAGGATTTGATTTATTTAATTCATGTCTAAATATGATTTGAAGTTAGAATAAATATAGAAATAGGCTTTCGTGTTACTAGTTAAAATAGGTTTCATACTACTATAAATAAGGGTATTGATAGCTTCTTTTATTTGAGGAGGAAATAAAGATTTGTAGAGAGCTTTCAGAAACTAATAATAAAATATTTTCCTTCAAGTACGAAGAGTTGAAGTGATAAACATCACTTCATCAAAGCCATATAAACAGAACTCATCATCAAAGATCACACTTTTTACCAACCAAATCATCTACAGAAGAGTCACATATCAAACGTACAATATTATTGTAGGCAGGTATTCTAAAATAAAAATACCATTAGCGCTAACCATCTCGAATGATCGATAGAATAAAACCGATTAATATGGAACTGCTAAAAGTCATTGTAGTCATTGTTGAGTATATCACAAAGAACATCCCACACTCAAGAAAATTATCATATACATGAAATATTGTTTTTTTATTAAAAAAAAACAACAACGCGTCAATTCAAAAAACACAAAAACAACATTCCATCGTAAGCCCATAGTAGAATCAAGAACATGCATTTAACGCAAACACATTTCTTAAGAAGAAACAAAAAATATTGGCGACGTAAAAACCTTCAGGGCAGCCAGGGGTGCAATCGCAGGAGATTACAAGTTCACCAGAGGAGAAAACCCTAAGTTTAGCAACAGCATCACCGTAACGGTGGCTGGTGCATCCACACATGACTTCCACGTAATCATCTCCTCTCTTCACTCCACTTATCTCTCTCAACTCTTCTTCACTGAACATATCGTCCCCTAACTCTCTCTGTGTTATTGCAATAAAACAAAGACTTTTAGTTTTTACATAAAAATCGAACCTTTTTTCGTATAAGAAATCAAAAAAAAAAAAAAAAAAAAAAAAAAAAAAAAAAAAAAAAAAAAAAAAAAGGGATCGAATACGACAAATATGCGAGTGTTCGTTGTGTGACTTTGTCGATAGAGTTTATACGTAAAAATGCATTGGAGAGAGACAAAAGGGGAAGAACCGAGAAACCGTTTGGGTATCTGATGAGAGAAATCACCTCAGCAAGTAGGCATCTTTAAGAGATCTGGTGTCCTAAGCTTCGAAAAAGGAGGATCTTTGGGGGTTTTATAGAGAGAAAGAGAGTGTGTGTGTGTTCAAAGAGTCAGGCTTGGGGTGGGGAGGGGGGAGGCAATGGTAAAAATAATTCAAAAATTGTATTCTAGTTTTGCCATGAATATTTTATCATATTTTCTTGTTGTTGGTATTGCTTGTTAGTTTCTGCTTCTTTTTCAAGAGTTTATCGGAAACAACCACAGATCTCACCTTATAGGATTACACTAAATTTTTGTTGTTGTTATTATTATTGTTGTTGTTATTATTTTTCATTGTGTGTTTCATGGAAGGATAGATATTGGTCTCTTGGGGGCTTAGGAAGAAAGGGGAAGAAAAATCCTTCACATGGGAAATGGAAGGAGGTTTTTAGAATTAGACTTTTAGCGTGTTTTCGTCAAGCATTTCCAATTCAAAAGGCACTTTGCCTTTTTTTTCAAAATTAAAGTGTTTGACCAAGTTTTTGGAAGAAAAAAAAGTGTTTTTGAGGAGAAACAAAAGTAGTTTTGGGGAAGCAGAAAAAAATATTGTCTCTCCAAAAACACTTTTGAGAAAAATACAATTAAAATTAGTTTTTATAAGTTTGGCCGAACATTAATTGCTGTTCAAAAGTGTTTTTCAAATTAATTAGTCAAACACAAATTGTTTCTCGCCAAAAATATTTTAAAAAAGATATTACTTAAAATAAGCTTGGCCAAATCGGCTATTTGAGTAACTAGCACTGCTACTTTTAAAGCTTGTTTAACTGTTCAAGCAGTTTAGACACTATTCTCGTGAAGGCTTTTACGGAGTAGTCTTTACTGCTCAACACTCACTTTTACACTGTCATGAGTTGTATTTTAATTGGCAGCTGGTTCTGGTTCCCGCAGCAGCATGTGCATCTTTATTCCTTTCTAATCGAAGCATTCCTCATTTTAGGAGTCCTAACTTTTTTATTATCTTTTTGGACAAATGTTACCTTAAAAAAGAAAGAAGTTATTTTACTATATATAACGTCGAAATTCTTCGCACTATATCTTAACGGTAACTTTTATCGTTAAGATATAACGCACAAATTTACTGCGATATACTAGTTTAGTGCCTGAAATCTGTGCACTATCACTCTTAAAAATCCGCCGCCTACATACATTGGGAATGCCAACAAGGCAACCACACATGTTCTTTTTCTTTTTATTCACATAAAATGAAAAAGGGCCAAGTATATCAATTACTCCATCCATAAATGTATACATATCACATACATGGATGCTAACATAAACACTTTTAACTCTTAATTAAAAGCATTTTTGAGAAAAATGGAACTTAGAAATACTTTTAAAAAGCTTGACCAAAATATATTACTACAACATTTTTATATCTGTAAGAAAATGTCACTATAAATAAATAAGAAATCTTCAAATCAAAGTATTTTAAATATAAAAAGATATCTTTTTTTTGTACAAAATTAAAGAGAAAAATCTCATAAAGAAATTGGGACATAGGAAGACAGATGTTCGAAGATCCATAAATTTCTTTCTCATTATCAATCCAACCAATGAGATTTCTTCACGTCCAGTGACTCAACAAAAGTAGCAAAGGGTAGTGTGAACACACGCCGGTGTGAGATTGTACCGCGAAATGACTTGAAAAATTTCCATTTGTAAAGTGGCGGGTTTTAAGGTGCAAGAAAAAGTGGCGGGTTATTAGAAAGATTGGCCCTATATAGAGCGCAGTAATTTAAAGTGTTATGCGTGAACATGCTAACACCAGTAACCGCGCTATATTTTAATGGTTAAAATACCGTTAAAGTCCAAAAATGATCACTCTTTTTTTTTACACATATTTATGTCATACTTGTCCAAAATACCACAATTGGGTTCCTGACTCCTTATTTTAGTGTCCTTCGTGTTATAAGTATTTGTATTTTCATATTCCTAAACTTTTGTTAGTACTTATCGTTGCTTTTGCTTATATTTTATTGGAGAATTTAGTATTAGTTTTGTATTTTTGCTTCAGTTGTCAGATTGGTTTGCTTGTTAGTGTCCCTCCCTTTTTTCCTTCTTGAGTCGAGGATATACCTGTATTGGGAAAAAACTGAATTTACATTATAGGTGATGTGGCATGACACGTGGACTGGTCAAACGGTCAAAACATAATAAATAGCCAAGAGGCACGGGTGACAACAGATAAGGGAAAAAGAAAGCAACATTGGTGCGGACCGTTACTAAAATAGGTACGAGTCTCGTACCTATCCAAGTCATCTAAAGACCGAAGATCGGAAGAAGTTGAAGATACGAATCTGATGACGTAAAAGAGTTTAAATACAGCATTAAATATCAAATACGTTAGAATATTTGATTTAAAAAGAAATGATTGTGTAACGTTTCTTTTAATGTCATTTATTGCTCATAATTGCCTCATTAAGACAAAGGCATTACATCTTCTCCTAGGATTAGCTATAAAAGGAGAAGAACTCACCATCTGTAAGGACAAGGAATACTATTGGAATCTTACTGAAATACAATTTTTTTTTATTGCTTTACCATCATTCACAAAAATATTTTATTTTTGTCTCCTGATTATCAGTAACCCGAATTTCTTTTTAGCTTTGATCAAAGGCTCAGATTTTTTGGTTAAACAAATTGGTTCCGTTACCGGGAATCTGATAATCTTTTCTTTTAAGCTATATCTTGTCCATTGTCGTCACCATGTCAAACAACAACACCGACAATAACAGTAATAACACATTGGGAAACCATGAAAATCAAATCCATCAAAATCAAGGTGACGTAGTTCCCTCTCCTCCAGATTCACCACGTCAATCTCGTGAAGGCATTCCTGTTACTGAATCCCGTGCTGATCAACAAGAACAATCTGAACACTTTGAAGGAGTTACAACTGAAGCTTTATAAAAGCTAATTGATGCACAGGTCGGCAAAGCTCTTCAGGCACTTGTTAGTCGATTGCCTGCTGCACCACCCACACCAACTCCTAATAATAATACATTGGAGAATCCCCGTTCTGGTCTTGATAATTCTGGAAACGGAGCAACCACCAGTAAACCACAGGAAGGGGGACCAGGTAATTCAAATAATTCATATTTGCAAAATTTAGTACTAACCTTGCAGAAACAGATTAAGGAACAAAATGAGCGTATTGAACAAATCCCTGGAGTTCCGCCTGTAATAAAAGGAGTAGACATGGACAAATACTCACAACAACCATGGAAGCCAAGTGCTGCTCCCCTTCCAATTCCGAAAAAGTTCAAAATGCCTGACATCCCGAAATATGATGGTACTACAGACCCACGTGACCACGTGACTGCATTTACAACAGGCGTGAAAGGCAATGACTTGACCAAACAAGAAATTGAATCAGTACTGGTCAAGAAATTTGGAGAAACACTCACCAAGGGTGCATTAACCTGGTATTCTCTTTTATCTGAAAATTCTATTAATTCTTTTGCTGAGCTTGCAGATTCTTTTATTAAAGCACATTCGGGAGCACAAAAGGTTGAGAAAAGAATGGAAGATATTTTCAAAATCAAACAAGGGGATTCAGAGTTGCTTAGATATTTTGTTGATAGATTCCAGCGTGAAAGAATGACTCTACCCCGTGTGCCTGACAACTGGGCTGCAATAGCCTTTGCAAGTAATTTAAATGACAAAAGTTCTGAAGCCACGAGACGACTCAAAGAAAGCCTTCGAGAATTTCCTGCAACCACGTGGAATGATGTTTACAACAGGTATAGTACGAAGCTGCGAATTGAAGAAGATACCGTACCTAAGTTTCATCATGAAGAAAGG